AAGATATATATAATAATAATAAAAAATAAAGTACATAATTCCATTTTACAATATTTATAGAAATAATATCACTGAAAATTTCATCACTAATCTACGTCTGAAAGCTAATAGATAATACCACACATTATATTTGTTAGTGACAAATGATCATTATAATTGTTATTTCTTTAACAAATGATATAAAAGAACGTAAATTAATAGGACATTGTTTTATATCCAGGTTCAACAGCCAATCTTAATCTAAGGACATCTAGAGGATATGTAATCTATTTCAGTACTACTGTTTTTCTCTTTCAGTCATTTCATGCGAAGTTTAAGAGACATTGAAATGATACCAGCCGATTCGAAAATGGAACGCACCTTTCACAATTGACAATGAAAAATAATAGAACCACAACAAAAAGAGCAGAATAAACAACAAAAGATGGCCAACTAAATTCTTCTTGTTAAGGTTCACATGAGACTTTAATTAAACTCCTATTTGGTGGAGATTAAAATCAGATTTTTAGTAGATTTTGATAATAGTTGATGAAATTTACAGTTAAAAAGCTGTAAATCTAATGAAATATGTTGTTAAATTAATTATTAATTTTGACTTAAATTAAAATTTTGATTTTGGGCACTTAGACTTTTTCTAATTTAGAAAGATAAGGTTCACATAAGACTTTAATTTAAGATTTTAATTGAAATCCAAATTACTTTTCATGTTCAATAATATGATTTCGCGCTGAAATTGACTAAATGCCCTAATTTCATCCAATACGGACTCGTAAAGAAATGACTGTTAAGCAAAATGGACCAATAAGTTATTAGGCGTTTTCGATGTGGTCTGAGGTCTCCATTTACTCTGTTCGAGTATCATCCTTTTAAAATTTATTTTAAATGCACATTTTTTAATAAAATAATTTTACACGTAAATGCAAAATCTTTCTAACAATACAAGAGCACGCAATTTGGCCTTGAAATGAAGAAAATATAAAATTTTAAAGTTTTTGTAGTAATTTAAAGTTAAAGAAGAAGAAAAGGGTTAGAAGTTCATTTTCAATCTAGATGGTCGACCATGTACTTATTTTCATGTGTTTTTACTTTTGTTTTTATTGCATTTTCATTTATATGGTCAATGAATGATTAGATTTAATGATTTGCACATCGTTCGAGAGAATATTGTATATTTTAGATCAAATAGTAAATATTT